CTGTGCTCCACAAGGTCTGTGCAGCCATGGTCATGATCTCCTTCTCAAAAGACGTCTGCATAATTCGCCAAAAGTTCCCTAACCTGAAGAGCCTGTGATGATGGCAAATGGACTCTTCTTCTTATAGAGGTCAGTTAAATGTTCTGGGAGAGGATGTCCTTTCTTCGTGGTTGTATTTCTTGCCTTAACATTGAATAGCTCTTCCTTATGGCAAACGCACAACAATTCCCCTTCTTTAAGTGTTTGCTCACATTTAAAGAAATTAGCCACTTTTATGGGTACTACTTGATGACCTGCTACAAGTGATCTTCCAATCTTCACCCTGGGAGAATACCTTATATCCAAATACCTAACAAGTTTATTAAATAGGCCTGGACTTTGTACAGAACTATATAATAAACATTTTCTCATATTTTTATTACTTCAGACAATTCTTATTACAACCACTGTACTGTAAACAAGCTATTAAGTCTTCTTTCACTGTGATTATGATAAGCTCTGTGGGAAATTTGTGGTAATTACACTACAAAAACTTATTTGCTATTGATGATGTTATATTGCAGTGTCAAATAATCAGTCTAATGACAGGAACAGTGATTCATTGCTTTATGTTTGGCAGGTTTCTACTTCAGCTGCAAACAGTTAAATAAACATAGGAAATAGATGTGAAAGGCTAATCACTTTTCATTTTTCAACCTTTAAAATTTTATGGTTCTTATGAGGGCAATCAAATTGACCAATCTGGTATATAGTTAGGGTATAGAAAATAGCAGATAAAATATGTTTTTCTGAAAAAAAAACATTTTATATTTATTTAGGAGGTTTTAGAGATTATGCATATAAAATATGAAAATTTTCAGATGAAGAAAATTGATTTTAATCTTAACATTAGTGTCACTTTTCATTCAAAGCAGTCAACTCTCTGACTCCATATATTTAGTAAAAATACCTAATTAAAGATTATGATTTCTTTTTTCTATAAAAGACTTATAATGTTTAGTAAAATCTTGAAACGTGTTAAAAGTTAAAGTTTGGAAAATATAGTCACTTTGGGGTCATATGATTGGTGTAATGCACCAAAGCAGTAGTGAAAGGATTATTGATTTAATTTAATTGACTAATTAATTATAACCATACCCTAGTTGCTGTCACTCCATTGAGTCTAGATATTCTGTACAGTCCTCAACTATTAATCTGAGATATGTTGGTAATCATGTAACTTCTGTCTGACATGGCACAACATGCAATCCTCACATTACTGTTAGCCTCAGATACGTTCACTTTTCTTACTGTGCTGATGACCACTAGAGCATGAAGCTGGATAGCTGACCATCCATAATTACAGAACAACACCTTGTCTGACAGATAACTGCTCTATCTATTGCTGCTTGCTTTCTGGACAGCTTATTCCATATGTAGTCTTTACAACCACATTAAACAGCACCTATACACTAGTCTTTTGCAGTCCACTATTCTTGGATCCAGTCTAGTTGACACTAACTAATTCTTCCATGGAACATCACTGCACCTGTTGCATAGGCAAAACTAACTGATAAGCTATGCAATACATCCATTCCAAGAATGCTGATGTCTGAACTGAATTTTGTGTCAACTGTTCCAAGTGGTGGTTTCACTCAGAGCACCTTTTATACTGCAAGATCTACCAGTATTCTGGCTTCTCCTTTATTAACCAGGAACTGTATCTCTTGTCCTTGTACATTGACAGACATATACCAAGACCTACCCAGCCCTTAGAGAGCTGGGCTGATGTCAAGTTTTTATAGGAGCTACAATTCTTTACAGTAGGTGTCTGTGACTTGTTGCCAATAAATTTCAACAATAAATGGACAACACACAAACCACTTCTTGTAAAATTTTATATTTCAAAAAAGTCAAATGTACATACAAAAATTTGTTACACTATTGGTTATCACAGTTGTATCCAGAACTTTAAATAATTCTGTTTTATGTCAAAAGTCCACTCAGACTGGTTCAATTACTTTAGAACCCAACTGACAAAATGAATTATTCTCCTCTATCTCTGTTCTTACAATACAAGCTGTGAAACTCACTTCAAAATCACCACTATAACTGTTGGTTACCACAGTTGTATCAATAGCTATAAATAATTGTCTCCTTTTCATCAAAGTCCACCCAGGCAAATTCAATTACTTTAGAACACCCTTTGACAAGACAAATTTTTCATCTCTATCTCTGTAATTGCAATACAAACTGTGTAACTGTCACTTTAGAAATCTCTAACTATGGCTGAACTGACATTCATAAGATAACTTCACTTTTACTTTTACTAACTTACTTTGCTTTCTGTATCTGCATGTATTTATACCATGTGACAGAAAAGTCTAGAAATATCTAGCCCTCTAGTAACAACAGTATGACACATACTGAGAAAAACTTAGAAGCTTTGAGTAAGATGATGTTAACAATTTTACAAAAGCCTAGTACAACAATTAAACCACATATGTAACTTATGACTCACACAGAGTTGCACTCCACCAAGTTATTGGCTAGACCCAACTTGGGCTCTGGTAACTTCCCAGAGCTGTAGCTGTATTGTTTAGTGCCTATTGTTGGTTTTCTTGCACCTCTTGAGCTATCAGTTGTTCAAGTTTTTATTCAACTTTACCTGTTTTAGTGTTTGTGTTTCACATAACCAGTAGAGTTTTTTTTAATTTCTCTTAGAAAAAAATGTATCTATAGCATTTGGATATTTTCCACCATTATGAGTTCTCAAGTGACAATAACTTTCACACTGCATCCCATGATAGTGATGGCCTTATTAGCATAGGACCTGTGGCTACTGGAGACTCATTGTTTGTGGAGGACATGACAACCATTGTTAAACATGTTTTGGGTCCTTTCATGCATACTGGGCCTCCTCCTCCCATTCATTCAGTTTACATTCCTTCTCTTTAATTTGAACTTGACCAGGATGATGGTGCTTTTGACTGGCTATTTCTTCCACTAGGATTCACTCTAAGTACAGCTTTATTTTGTGAGGAAAATTAAGGTTCATGCACTCATTTTTCGAACAACTGTACACCAGTACTAACATACATTGTCCACTTGATTCTTTTGTCCCTCCCAGCTTACAGGCATTCTTCATTTTCATTCCTCAATTCCCAGTCTTAGGGATCTCTTTTACCTACTTGGGTCAGACCCCTTAACTTCTGTTTCCATTTCTAGTGCCCAATTTTTATGTCATTGTCTCTTTCTTACCACCCTTCTGCATTACCTCTCATCATTTTACTTTATTTTGGAGGCACTAAATTGTGCTCTTGAGGTATTTTTTTGGAGAGGTTCATTCTCTTGTTTTCCCCCATTGGCCCATACTTCATCTTCTGCTCTATTCCTTCTTACCTGATTCCTCTGCTTTTGGAACTTATTGGGACATGATGATCTCCTAGATTATGTACACCTCTCTCACATTTATCTCTTTTATCTTTGTCTAGCTCAATATTTTTATCCTGGAGATTTTCTGGGGTGTTCCTAACTCACTGGAGACCCAAGCCAAGGCAGCCCAGCATCAGTCCTTATTGTCTACTTTAGTTTATCATCTTTCTCAACCTCACCATTCTGTACCTACTCCTAGGCCTGCTGAATCCATGTCTTCCCTTCCCATTCAAGCTTCCTAACCTTCTTCTTCTCATCCTCCAACTTCCAGGTGTCATTAAGGTTGTTGTTCATAATCATCAGTGGTTACCCTATTGAGTCTGGCCCTGTGGAAGCCATTCTGTCTGTCTTTGCCAGCCTTTGGACTCCATTTTTGACTGACCCATGGATTCTTCAGATTCTAACTTATGGCTTATTTCTTCACTTATCCTTCTCCCCTTTTCCAATTTATTTTCCACTGCCCTCTGCTCCCCTTTATCTCTAGCATCTCAAGAATGTGGCCAATCAATGTAGTATTTACTACTACTCGGATGTGTTACTCTCATCTCTTTCTGGTCCCCAGAAAACCAAGTGCTGGCATCTGATTATTGACCTGTCATCTCTCAACCAATTTCTTGTCATACCTTATTTCTGTATGGAGGGTTTCTTTTTTTCTCTTTAGTGTTTCTTTTCACCCAAGTTGTAGATGACCAAGATCAATATTTTCATGTTTTCAATTTCATCATCAGTCATTCACCTACCACATTCATGAATCAGAGCTGAGGTTTCATGATTATATGGATTTTTGGCTTCTCTTTGCCCTCTCTTAGGAGTACTCCTTCTCTCACATACCTGCATTCTTCTGCAGGAGGTTGCTTAGATGGGCTGGCTTCTCAAGCATTCAAGGTCTTTTCTCACACCCACCCAATATTTAGAACATCTAGATGTGTTCTTCAACTCCCATCTCAGTTGGGCTCAACTTTTACCACTTCATTTACAAGCTATGGAATGTCATATCATCAAGATTTGAGCTTCTCATTTAAACCCTGTTTATAAGGTTCTTTCACATTTGGGGACTCTGGCTTCCCTTGAACCACTCATCCTTTAGGCCACACACACACAAGTACCTCCTCTAGTGGACACATTTATCAGGATTAATTTTCTTGATTATGTGCCTACCCTCTCCTCTTCTTGAGGACTTGTTTTGGTTGCTCAACCTCTCCAATACCATGGTGGGCATCTCTTTGCTGCCCTCAACTAGACCTCCATCTCTTTACACATGCTTTTTTGTCAGGCTCTGGCACGTCTTTGAATGGTGGTCAGTGCTCTCAGCCAGAACTGGTTGCACTTTTCTCTATATGCATACCCTCCTCTTTGTCTTCTCTCTTATGTCCTTGCTTGGATTTGAGACACTCTTTATCAGGTCGTATTAGTGATACTTCTTTAGTCAGCACAACCCCAATTTCTTTTCCTTTGTCAATGGACATCCACACCTCACTTCCCATGCCCAGTTCCCACTCTCTCTTGCTCCAACCACACATGTCTCTCTTTCACCTAGGAGAGTCATCCATTCATCTTTACATGTGTGATTTGTCTAGTCCATTGCTAGCATCTACAACCATCTAGCCTTATTTTTCTCCGATTCCTGTCATTCTTCATATCAGTCCATTTATAAATGGAAGTATTGGTTTTTTTATGTTTGTCCATCCACCACTCCCTCCAGACTACCTTACTGTGGCCTACCTTTCAGCCTTTTTCATGTGGCTGTTTGACTGTGGATTGTTGGTTTCCATCTTTGCTGGTTATCAGGCATCTTTACCAACTATATTTTGCCTTTCTCACTGCCACCAGGTATTTCTTCCCCTATCCTCTACATTTTGTTCTGACTCTTCCTTCTTCACTGGCCCCTCAGCCTACTCCCATGCCTGATGGAACATTAATATGATTTTACAGTTTCTTGTACTCTCTTTCACTGTACTTACTTCTCTACCCCAACCGGGCCTTTCTTCCAAAGACTTCTGACAGTTCTTTCTCTCATATCTCCCTCCCTTCAATTTCACACCTTTATGTTTGTTTAAACCTTGATCACCTCCTGTGTCTGATTTGGGTTATTCAGTGTTGCTTGGCATGTAATCTCCCTTTCAGGGTTTCTATCATTGTTTGTTTCTAAATTGAAGATATATCTCTCATAAATACCTCCATACGCATTCCCACCCATTCTTCCCACTTTTGGTGCACCTTTTTCCTTACCTCATTTAAGAATGAAATTATCATGAGTGCCAGTACAGATGGGTAGTTAATGTGCATGGAGATTATGTCACCCTCCTATTGGTGGAGGACTATTTTCACGTGATGATGTCATCAGGTACCAGCACAGTTCATGTTAAACACGTCAATTTAGGTGGGAGTTAGCTCAAGGCTAGGGACATGCAAATCTCATAGGTAGATATGCAAGGGAAATAATATTTTATTGTGCATAGGTAAATTATAAGAAATACATTTCAAATTAGGAAAATGTTAACATACAGGTTATAATAGTTATAAATTAGAAAGAATTTCAACCTACACAAAGTACTCTTTTCTTTTGATGATAATCTACTAAATAAAATCATGCATATCAAAACAGGTGTTACATGATACTTTAAGAATGCTGGCAGCTAGCCTAAACACATGTTTAAGAAAGTTGCTGTTTATACCACCAACTATATTATGTATTATTCATTGTGCCCAAGTATTCCTACAAAGTGAATTTTAAACCATTCTGCATGCAACTACCTCTCATATAGCTTGTATAAAATGAGTGTTTAAACTTTGGCATTCTTAAAAAAATTATCTTTGAATACCAGGTACCCATTAGGATGGAGATGGGTAACATTGAAGTAGTTTTTTTTTTCTGTTGTATGTTAAATCCATTCATTTCTAAGTTGATTTTTTTCTATGAAAGGACTATAAGGTCATATCTTGATCTTAACTCCTCAAATGACCTTTAGGTAATTGTTAGCCTAATCAATTAAATACTGACCTTCTGTCCCAGTAAGCCAAATTTGATCCCCTATATCACCTATATATACAAAGACATTAATTTGATTTCCTGTATCTCCTATATATCACGTATATGACTATATAGAAAATATATTTTTAAAGTAATTTATCTCCAAAAGGAATGATGGAGAAGTGTAATAAATAATTTAAATCCATATTTTGATATACAAAAAACTGATAACTATTCAGCTGTTACATGTTAGGTATATTGTGTTTAATTTATGTACAACATAAATGTATCTGTAATTTACCTGTATACTGTAAATTTCCTTACCTTTTCCTGATGACAGATACATATTGAAAGACTTTATCTACTTTTGTTAGTAAAGGTCTAAAAATAATATATTACTTGTAGCCAAGAGATTTTTGGATAGACCAAAATGAAAGACATTAAAAACTGTTTAAATATGTTTTTATATTTAGTATGAAACTTAATAATTAGGGATTTTAAAATTATTTTGATTTTCTTTTGGTCAAAATCACAGCATTTTGTCTTGATTTGTTAATGTTTTATATTCCATATAAAAATATTTTTCTTTTATTATCAATTTTTATTCCAGTTAGGCACATAAGAGGTGAAACATAAACAGTATTGTGCTTTTATATTAAATCTCAATAAAGACATTTAATTTTAAAAAATTAAGCAGAAGATAATAAAGCTACTTTTATTTAAAATATAACTAAGAGGTATTATTTTTTATGATTACATGTTTAATTGTAATGATAAACTTTTGATAATCCTCTTATATTCAGTTGTATGAAACTCAAAGAGTAAGACATGGAATTATGACATTAGGACCAAGTGGTGCTGGGAAGTCATGCTGTATTCATATACTAATGAAAGCCATGACTGATTGTGGTGAAATCCATAAGGAAATGAGAATGAATCCTAAAGCTATTACTGCTTCACAAATGTTTGGTCATTTAGATGTGGCCACAAATGATTGGACAGATGGAATTTTCTCAGCAATGTGGAGAAAAACACTGAAGAGTAAAAAAGGTGGTGTACATTTTTTCAAATATATAATTGAATCTTAAAAATTCTGTTTTTAAGGAATGATATTTTAAAAACAATAATCTTTTAATGAATCAGCAAGATTAATTCATGAGATACACTGAGTGGACAATTTATTAGCATACCCATCTAACATCTGTTTGAAACATTGTTTCTACAATAATAGCCTGGACTTTTATACTATTACTCCACCTTTAACATCTACAACTTTAGGACAACACAAATAGGGTCAAATACACTATTTCCTTATTTTTTCTGTATCATCAATAAAAATATGAGAAATACTACTGATCATACCTCCTCACAGTCCTTTGTTTTCTACACTTTGCACTCTAAGCATCACTGAAGGTGCACTTTCCTCTCTGCATATGGAATAGGAAGTATTTAGATTGGTTGTCAGCTGCCATATGATAATTTTTGAATTTTCCTTCATATGGTATGGCTAGATGTAATTAAGTGTAATTACTTTTCAAGGCATCAGTCAGTTAGGATGCACTCTAACATCTATTGCAAGTTTGTTCAATATTTTTTTTCTATGATCTATAACCAGCAAATTGCAGTTGTAGTTTTCCTAGCAGCAAATATAGTCCCTTTAAATTACCATTATTGCTAGACTCTGACAGCAGATTGGTTTGAACAACTTGTCAAAGTAATGGTCTTTTTTTTTATTGACACTTTAGGGCCGGCATGGCCAGGTGGTTAGGGAGCTCGACTCACAATTTGTGGGTTCGAATCCCCATCACACCAAACATGCTCGCCCTTTCAGCTGTGGGGGCATTATAAAGTGACAGTCAATCCCACTATTCATTTGTAAAAGAGTA